TCCTGTAACACAATTGAAAACAGTGTTAATCAGTGAGAGCTCATAATCATACAAATAATTGAAAGCATAATGTGAATAATAATCCAGACACAGTCAACACCTCTGTAAACAAGAAAAATGATGCCATCTAAAACATTACAGTTAAAATTTAGGTAAATATAACCAACTTGTACTTCGTATAAAATACATTTTTCATTACAATTTTCATTCAATACAATAATTTAAAAGTACTATCATGTTATACTAAAAATGTCCTTTATGATGATTATTCCATTCTATTCAATTTATTTTATTGCTGCATTTTTTCATCATAAGAAATTAGGCCAAACAAAAAAAGTTATTGTGTTGGCTAGTACCAATCGAACCAAAATGTTCGAAAATTGAGGGTCATCATTTTATTTTATTTTATTACTTACTACAATGAAAAATATATTCAATGAGCTAAGAAATGTGGAATAAGCTTATCTTGCAACGGTAGGCGATGCGACAGTGTTATGCGATTATTTTGCTCTTCAATATAGATTTTTAAAATCGTGTTTGTTGTATTTTTAATATATTTTCTACTTTTTAGGCATAAACACATTATCGGTCAAAAAAAAAAAAAAAAATCCTACCGAACTACCCATTTTTTTTTAAAGATTTTGCCAAAACGTGGCCAACAAAAGAATTTTTTTAATGCCATTATCACACAGCATTTAGGCTACATGGGGAAATGCATTGATAATAATGCTACTACTATAGATAATAACACGAATACTAAGAGATGTGTTTATTTATAAATCATATAATACCAAAATACTGATATATTATAGAGAAATAAAAAATATGACAATGGCAGTAACAACAGTAATGATAATAATAATGACAAAACAAACTTCATTTATAATAAAGTTTATTTTGGTCAATAATGCGTACTGTAATAAAATTAAAATAATAAAGTTTATGCTCGTATAATGTGTTTTTATGCATAAGTTTAACCTTCGTATATTATAATATAAAACTACACTGATTGTTTTATATGGTAAGTCAATCACTCTCTACTGTACTGCAATATTCAACCTGTTGTTGTAGCGGTCGTCGTTTGTTTTGATCACTACACAATAGTTGTGCGTATGCCGATTGTGCTGCAGTACGCACCAACACTAATCAAGTTAATTGTATTACATCAGTGTGCTTACATCAGACGACGATGTGTATTTTGAATGATAAACTCGCCTGTGTCATGAGTAGGCGTAATTATTAACAAACTGGCAAGCATCTGTCAAAAAATACAACCGTACATTGACAGCTCAAACAGGGCTGTAGCCACAGAAATTAAAGTGGTCGGGTTGCAAGCGAAGCAAGCAAATGAGGCTGGAGGCCAGGGGCGATGAAGGGCTCACGTGAGGCATTCCAGTGGCCTATGGACCAGGAAAATTATTCTATTTTGACAATTAACTAACAGACCAATTTACATGATGTTCTGTAATAGTACCTTTAAAAATATTTTATATAAAAATATGTTTTAAACTATTATTAGAGCTATGATGAAGCTAAACAATAACACTTTGAATTCAAAACAGGCAGGTTTATTCAGGAGAAAAATTGTTAATTTTTGTTATTTTAGTATTTTGCTTTTTGACAATAACAAAATCTAAGATTCGATCAATGAACGAAAAATAATATCGCTAATTCTATGGTACACTTCAATCAATACGTATCAATTTAATAGAGGTGCATTACAAAGCATACCTGCTGTATGTATTAATAATGTTACATACTAGAACTATCATAAATAAATATATGGAAGGCATGTTTTTTTTTCTTGTTTCCTGTCAGTTGACCAAGCAATAGTGAAGAAATGAATAGAAAGTCCTAGGCAAGTGTATAATAAATAGGAACCTTTAGCCTGATTTTTGCAAAAATCTCATTATGTATAGTTTGACCTACTTACTTGATTATTTGGATAAAACAAAGCCCATATGAACACTGAATTTCAACTGAAGAAAAAAGTGCATCCTAATGCATGCTAGATGCATGCTAATGCTTAATTAATTATAAAACTTATACTAAAGAGAAGAAAATATTATATAAACTATCATTAAAAGTTTACCCCAAATTTCACAGACTTGTGGTTCCTGAATTATGTCAAGGAGGTAGTAGGTTGAGTCTAATAAATACCCGTAGTAAACATACAGTGGAATTTAACCTTTCTTCCTATTCAAATCCTAATAAATTAACTAAAGCTTGTCAAAAAAAGTGGCCAGGTTGAAATCTTGCTGTATTTTTTTAACTGTTTTCTGTACAGCCTTTTTAATTGTTCATGCTTTGTCTCGCGTACACATATACTTAGGCTGGACTACATATCCCGGCCTAGCCTAGGCCTACATACATACATATGTAGAAATAGACCTATGTAATGCAAAATGTAATCATCACATTGTGTGTACAATACTAAGAGAAACAAAATCAATTCCAAAAATGGCTGAAAAAAGCTGATTTTCTGAAATTTTAAACACGCTTTTTACTTATTATGAGTGATTCAGAAACATTCATTCGCTTGGCTATCACAACATGGACGCCCTATGTCAAGAAATTTTGATTCAGAATCATTACTGTGCTTGGCTTTCACTCAACGGTTAAAACCACACAATAAAGCAATTGAACATTAATAAAAGTAATAAATACAGTATTTTACAGCCATAATTATATTTAATATTAAATATTTAGTTATAATTTTATGAGTAATTTATTAATACATAATGACGATTTGTCATTCAGTGTTTTTAATGAATAATGTGTTGTTTCCTATACGTACCCTATCTTGACAATTAACATTGCGTGCAGAAATCCCGAGTGCTGCTATTAGTTGTTGAGTGTAGCCGAGATCAGCAATGTGATGTAGAATACACTCACGAAAGAACTACACAATGAACAAGGAATATGAAAACAGAGAATATACAACACATCATCTCTTTAATTAAAAAAATATATTTTAGGTCATTATACTTTTTATTGATTTTTTCTATAAAAGTGTAATATTTATATTCAGTGCACATTGACAACTCGAACGAGTCTAAACATGAATGTGAATTTTCTATTTAAAGCTGTTTTTCAGCAAATTTTATTGGTTCGTGGGCGATTCAGAATCATTCATTTGTTTGGCTTTCAATCAACATGGACGCCCTATGTTTTGTACAAGTTAAAATCACCATCTCCTAAAAAATATTTTTTTAGTTTATGTATTTTTTTTCGAATTTATTATTGAAAGTTTATTTACTATAATCAGTGATCAATACAGATCAAAACAAGATCAAACATGACTATGATTGTTTTATGTAAAACTGATTTTTCAGTGATTTTCAACACCTTTATTTTGGTTGTGAGCTGCTTCTCTTCTGATTCAAGGCGCAATGACTGTATATTTGCACGACCACCGTGCGGGAAATTTCAACAATAAACAATCAACATTGATCGTAAAATACAATAAAATATCATTTTTATAGTGTGGATGATAATTAAATTATGTTTTAAATGTAATAAGTTGTTGTTGTTAGGTAAGAATTGATGTAGAGTGGTGTATGGTATGTTGTTGTGTATAGATGCTGTGTTGTTGTATTTTGTGTGTTGATGTCGTAATTGTAATGATACATAATTCTACTCACCGACCACACGTAGTCTACAGTTTTTACCGTCGCTGATTTTAAACTCTCACTGATGACATCACGTGGTGCGATGTGCCACACAATCATCCGATATAATAACGGCCAGCCGTCCTACGAAAACAACAAAATACGATGATAACAAAACACATTCAACTATCACACATACACAAAATATCACATATAAACACAACTTAATCACATCATAATTACATTAAATAATCACAATCAATTAAATATTCAAATTTTATTACAAATTAACTAACTTTTTAAAGCTAATCGTTTAAAAATCGTAAATTTTATCATTTTTTTTCTGAACGCTTTTCCCTATTCTTTTGCATTGAAAAATTTTATGTTGATTTAGGGTTTTGTTCTGATCATAATTTTTTAGGAATTTTGTATTTTTAACACTCTAGATATATTTCTTTTGTATAAAGGTTTGAAAAGAATACAGACAATGATATGTTTTATCCACTAGTTTAAATTGATGTGTATAAGAGCCAGATTTAATAGAGGTGCATACATAAATTCTGTAGGCCCATCTGTTTGGAATCATATTTTTTTTGAAAAGCTAAATTTTTAAGATCATATTTGACTTTCTCTTGAGTAGAGTTTTAAAACTAATCCAAACACATATATGTTTTAACGATAATTAACGATTTTACCAAGCTTTAAACCTATACTAATTTCAGACAAAATTTGCCTATTCTTTATCATTAGATACATAAATTCTGTAGGCCCATCTGTTTGGAATCATATTTATTTTGAAAAGCTATATTTTTAAAATCATATTTGACTTTCTCTTGAGTAGAGTTTTAAAACTAATCCAAACACATATATGTTTTAACGACTAATTAACGATTTTACCAAGCTTTAAACCTATACTACTTTCAGACAAAATTTGCCTATTCATTATCATTGGCTATTATAGGGCATGGGCTGCCAATCTCTGTTCGAATTCATACTTTTTGCGAAATTTTATATTTTAAACATCGTAATTGCCTTCCTCGTGATTAGAGTTTTATAACAAATACAAAGACTTATATATTATATTGACTAATTAAAAAAATTATAAAGAATTTTATACAAACTTCAGACAAAATTTGTCTATTCTTTATCATTTGGATAAATTTTAAGCCTACACTATTATTTATAATTTTGTTTTGGAATACAAATTTTGGTTTGCATTTGATATTTTATTTTTTGAATTAAAAACTCAAAATTATTTAACTACAATATGATAACATACAATATTTCGTTAATAATTACACAGTACAGACGCGGACAATGTAACGGAGATATAATATTGTACAGTTGTTTTTCGGAGTCGACCAAAAACATCGAAACTAAAGAGGGCGCTAGACTAGTATTTTTGGTTATCAGAGATGATCGTTCCTCGTCTAAATTAACTATGAAACCAAATCAATAGCTTGTAATTTAATGTAGGCATATTTTGTTTTTGTATGTTTCTTTAATCGTATGCACCATGCATTTTGTATGAGTGCTACCGTATCAAAATGGATCCAGTAATTTGATTGATGATTGATTCATTCATTCATTGGCCGTGTTTTGAACCAAATTAAGTGGGGACACTAAGCCAACATGTTTAAGTTAAATTTTCTCGCGATCCAGAATAATACTTTGATGTAAGACTTCACATTCACAAATTGTCCCCATATTAACTTCACATTTATATTGATAAAGGCATGATAACTGATATTAAATATTTCGTGCTTAACAATTACATATTAGTAGGTCTGGTTTTTAGATTGATGGTTTTCGTATAACTTGAGAGAGAAACATATCTCTCTACTTTAGGCCTAATTAGACCCATTTATATTAGGACAATTATAAATACAATATCAATCAATTCTTTTGTCGTAATCCCTACATTCATGAAGAAGTCTCTAGTTATTTTGTATAAATCAATCAAACAATAGTAATTTTTAAAATCGAAAATACTTCTTCATATGTAGCTTTTACAGAATATGAGGCTGTGCAATCGATTATTACGAACCTTAAGCATAAAAAATAAAAATATCTCAATTGTCAGAGCTTACGGGTCTGGAAGCGCCCCATGGGACCCTTCAGAGGTACTTGAACATGGCCCCTCCCCTGCCATCGAGCAAATCTAGGCTCCATCACTTTCGTTTTGTGATGATTTTACACAAGGAGGAAATAAACTCATAAGCAGGAAGTAAAGCATTAGATTAATCCCATAGTTGCCGTAATAATGTATTGTACTACAAACGAAAATAATAGCATTTGAAATTGTGAAATTTCCAATGGTCTTTCCGGCAAGCAGATTACTTTCATAAAGTATAATAAGTTGCTTACAACTCGGAACTTATCAACTCTAAACACTTCTTGCCCTTCAAATAAATAATTCAAAAGCCAGAGGCATAGTCCATACATGGTAGGTTTGTAATGTTATAAAGAATATTTAAAAGAGTGATTAATATTCTTATTTAATTGGCGAATATGGTCAATCCAGTATACTAAGATTTCATCAATACGGTCCTACTTATAGTTTTGATTTTACTAAAAATTAAAGGGTTGACATCTTTTGAATTGTTACCAACAGTCTCTCATTTCAAATTGATTTTAGATGAAACACGCATTTTAAAGAAACACACGCGAGATCATCAATTTGTCACGCATTTAGCTGTCCATGCGTATACCGAATTATCACGAATCCAGGGAAAATGTATTTAAAATCAGAAGAAATTGGTTTTATTTAAGATATACAAAATGGTTAGAGAGTGCAGTTGCCAGCATCAAACTCACACAGTTGTAAGTACAAAAGTACGTGAATACATTAATTCACTGACAAGTTACCGGTACTAAAAATTGATTAGTATCCAATTCATTTCTTGATTGTTTAAGTAGGCCTAATGATATGTTTGTGTACATAATTAGGGTGCTGCAATTAAACATAAAGTGAAACGCAAATTGTAGGCCTACGTGGCTTTATTAAAAATATTTTTGTTGATGTACCTGCTATTGTCAAAAACACTCCCTGAAAAAAATAGCTTCTCAAAATTCTCAGATCGTCGAAGCAGTCACTCACGCATTTAAATTCTCTCAGGTGGGTAACTACTAGTCTTCTGTTAAATGTAACCTATTTCAATTATAGCATCTTTTGATATGATTCTTTTTCAATTAGTTCTATTAGGAAAAAAATATTATTTTTGTTTTTGTTACTGTTTTCACAGTAATTAAGATACCTCGATGTTTCTCCGACAACCAAAAATACTTATCTAGCGCCCTCTTTAGTTCAGATTCTATTTGTACCATAAGATCTTTCTATCTTCCTACAAAAATCATGTACCTATTTCCTGCTAAAAATGATAATAATAATTAATAATAATAATAATAATAATAAAAATAATAATAATAATAATATTAATAATAAATCAATTAATAATAATAATAATAATTTTATTTAACTATTATTATTATGATTATTATTATGACTACTAAACTATTGGATGAATAGGCCCATTGCAATAACTTTCTTTTTTATGATAACACAGCACAAAAAATTGAAGACGTTTCAACCACTAATCCATGCACAAAGGAAAGTTTTGTCTACAATCTCCAAAATGTTTAAATTCTCTACAACATGAAATTAGAAATGCGTCCTCTTTAGTTCAGATTCTATTTGTACCATAAGATCTTTCTATCTTCCTACAAAAATCATGTACCTATTTCCTGCTAAAAATGATAATAATAATTAATAATAATAATAATAATAATAATAATAAAAATAATAATAATAATAATATTAATAATAAATCAATTAATAATAATAATAATAATTTTATTTAACTATTATTATTATGATTATTATTATGACTACTAAACTATTGGATGAATAGGCCCATTGCAATAACTTTCTTTTTTATGATAACACACCACCAAAAAATGGAAGACTTTTCAACCACTAATCCATGCACAAAGGACGTTTTTGTCTACAATTTCCAAAATGTTTAAATTCTCTACAACATGAAATTAGAAATGCGTCCTCTGTAGGCCCTAATCTTATTTAAAACATGTTAAGAATATCTTACATCCCCCCCCCCCAAAAAAAAATGTCCATATGGAAATATCCCTGAAGGTCACCGCAACATATCATGCTTTTAACTATGTATATACATATTCCATATTTATTCTATTTATATTTACACTTACTCTTTATTGAATTTTATTATTCCAATAATTGTTTTATCATTATATGCTTTTTATTTTTTAACTTTGCTTTGTCGTTTATGTTTGCTGTTTTTTATGCGAGGGCCACATGAATGTTAGTAATTGGTTACCGTTGGTAAATAAAGTTAAATAACTATAAAATAAATAAAAAAATAACAAACTGATCATGAGCATACAATAACTTCAGTAGCGATACTCAAGAAGTCGGCATAATGGCATAAAGAATAGGCTCTTACTGTATCTACGTTTGTGAGTGAATGGTTCAGCTGCGCATGGGCCATGGCCAGGGGTCATAGGGTGAAACCGCTGGTGGCTGGTGCAGGGGGAGAAGACTCTGATGATGGACATTTTACAACTGTATCATTGCATCAATGATAATTAATTAATTAATTAATGATGATTAATTAATTGTATAATTGTATCATTGTGTATGGTCTAATTTGGTATGATTTTGATTCATTATTTGTAATAAGTACTTTAATTACCGGAATTTCTCTACTGTTTATTATCATTATCATTATATAGCATTATTAATATTGTTTGTATTATAGTATTATGATCAATCTATCAAATTATTATCAATATCATTTATTATCATCGTCGTCGTCATTGTTGTTATTTTTAAACAAAAAAAGTCAATAATGAGACTAAAGGTTCTTTAGACAAAAGTTTTGAATGATTACAACAACAAAAACGTCTTAATAATCACAACCGATTTCAACCATTTAGGCTAAACTGGATACAACATGTTTCTTCAGTATAACTGTCATCTTCAGTGTAACAATTGCTTACAAGCAATAGGAGTGAACAAGTGCAATGAATTTTATTATTAAGCGCAAATTAATAAATTTAAGGCGGAGCATTTAAGTTATACAAAA